TGATGCCTAGAAACAGCCTCTGGACTGAGGTGCTGTGCATTCTGTTCCCAGTCTACCATCGATGTGACAGTGGGAACATGCAAGTGCAAAGAAAGAAGCTCTCTCCTAAATGTCTGAAATGGCAGGCTTCCTCACTACTTCCCAGCTGAGGCTGACATCTGGTCTGAAGATCAGCCATTGCTCAGTGACTAACAACACTCAGATCTTATTGACAGAAATCAAAGGAACTGTCAGAGGTTGGCCACTTCCATCGCCTCCACTCAAACCCTTCACCTACTGTGCATTTTACCATCATTGCTGACTTTATTCATAGCTCTGACTCCTCTGCAGAACTGTGCTGTCCTGTTTATTTCTGTTTAATGTTTTAGAGTAGTTTTGTAGCTCGGGTTGTGGATGTTGTGGTAGGTTGGCTCACCGAGCTGGTTTGTTGTTCCACAGACGTTTCATTACCCTGCTGGGTAACATCATCAGTGCAGCCTCCGATGAAGCGTCGTTGCGTTTTCCCGCCTGTTATTTAAACTCTGGATCCGTTGAGCTGGATTACCTCACTTCCGGTTTTCCTTCGCAATGGAGTGTATAAGGGGTCCAGTTCTATGTGTTTATTGATGGCTTTCTTAGTGGAGAACCAGGCTTCGAGGAATTCCCGTGCTTGTCTCTGCTTTGCTTGTCCCAGTCGAATTGGTGGTTCTCCTTATCCATGTGGATAGAGATGAGTGAGTATTGATCATGTCTTTTTGTTGCCAGTTGATGTTCGTGTACCCTTGTGGTTAATTTCCTTCCTGTCTGTCTGATGTAGTGTTTGTCACAGTCTCTGTAGGGAATCTTGTATATGACATTGGTCCTGTCCATACTGGATAGTGGGTCTTTGGTTTGGGTGAGCAGTTGGCGTAGGGTTGATGTGGGTTTGTGTGCTACTCTGATGCTCAGTGGTCGTAGGTGTCTTGCGGTCAGTTCAACGTGTTCCTGATGGAAGGTAGCGTGATGAGTGTGTCAGGGCGTGTAGTATCTTCCTGGTATCATTCTTGTAATAGGCACCTTCTGACCCAGTTTTTTGAGTTTTCATCTGTGCTGCTGCAGTGTGTTGCTGGCCATTTAATTAATGTTCTCACGCAACTTCGTTACTATGTTAGGGTGGTGGCTGTTGAAATTCAGTACTTGGTCAGTGTGTGTACCTTTCCTGCGTACCTTTGTTAGGAATTCCCTACTGGTCCTGCATTCCACCATGATATCCAGGAACGGAAGCTGTTTCTTCTTTTCCTCCTCCTCTAGTGGATCTGATCCCGGTGAAGGTGTGGTTTATTAGTTTGTGTCTCCCCTCTAGTTTAGTCCATTTAATAATGACAAAGGTGTCGTCCACGTAGCGTATCCATAGTTTTGGTTGGATTAGCGGAAGGGCCATACTTTCCAGTCTCTGCATCACCGCTTCAGCAAGGAGTCCGGAGGTAGGTGATCCCATGGGTGACCCATTGATCTGTTCACATATTTGGCCATTAAAGGTGAAGTGGGTGGTGAGGCATAGATCCAGTAGCTTCAGCATGTTGTCTGTAGAGATAGTGTCACTGGGGTCTTGTTCTTGTTTTAATAGTGTTGCCGGTGTTTCTCTTGCTAGTGGTATGTCTATCAATGTGAATAGGGCAGTAACGTCACATGATACCATGGTCTCGTCGTCATCTATTCTTATGTCCTTCAAGGACACATCAATAGACATACCATGAGCAAGAGAAACACTGGTGACACTATTAAAACAAGAACAAGACCCCAGTGACACCATCTCCACAGACAACATGCTGAAGCTACTGGACCTATGCCTCACCACCCACTTCACCTTTAATGGCCAAATATGTGAACAGATCAATGGGACACCCATGGGATCACCTACCTCCGGACGCATTGCTGAAGCGGTGATGCAGGGACTTGAAAGTATGGCCCTTCCGCTAATCCAACCAAAACTATGGATACGCTCCATGGACAACACCTTCGTCATTATTAAACGGACTAAACTTGAGGAGACACACAAACTAATAAACAACACCCTCACCAGAGGAGGAGGAAAAGAACAAACAGCTCCCGTTCCTGGACATCATGGTGGACCAATGGGGACTTCCTAACAAAGGTACGCAGGAAAGGTACACACACTGACCAAGTACTGAATTTCAACAGCCACCATCCTAACACACACAAATGAAGCTGCGTGAGAACATTACTTAAACGGCCAGCAACACACTGCAGCAGTACAGAGCTACGCCGAGAAGAAGAAGAATACCTCTTCCAGGTATTCAAGGACAATGGATACCCAAAAAACTGGGTCAGAAGGTGCCTATTACCCCCATGTCACCAGGAAGATACTACACACCCTGACACACTCATCACGCTACCTTACATCAGGAACACATCCGAACTGACCACAAGACTCCTACGACCACTGGGCATCAGAGTAGCACACAAACCCACATCACCCCTACGCCAACTCCTCACCCAAACCAAAGACCCACTATCCAGT